CCACTCCTAGGCATATATCCTAAGGAAACCAAAATTCAAAAAGACACATGTACCCCACTGTTCATTGCAGCACTAGTTACAATACCTAGAACATGGAAGCCACCTACGTGTCCATCGACAGATGAATGGATAAAGAAGCTGTGGTATATATATACAACAGGATATTATTCAGCCATAAAAATAAATGCATCTGAGTCAGTTCTCATGAGGAGGATGAACCTAGAGTCTATTATACAGAGTGAAGTAAGAAAGAGAAAAACAAATATCATATACTAATGCATATACATGGAATCTAGAAAGATGGTACTGATGAAATTATTTGCAGGGCAGCAATGGACACACAGACATAGACAAGAGAGTTATGGACATGGTGGGGAGGGGATCGGGAGGAAGGAGAGGGTGGGATGTATGGAGAGAGTAACATGGAAACTTCCATTAACATATGTAAAATATATATATAGCCAGTGGGAATTTGTTGTATGGATCAGAGAACTCAAACTGGGTCTCTGTAACAACCTAGAGGGGTGTGATGGGCAGGGAGGTAGGAGGGGGCATATGTATACCTATGGATGATTCATATTGGTGTTCGGCAGACACCAAAACAACTCTGTAAAACAATTATCCTTCAATTAAATAAAAAAGAATCGACCGCAAAGCAGGAGATGCAGGCAGTTGTGGGTTCGATTCTTGGGTCGTGAAGATCCCCTGGAGGAGAGCATGGCAACCCACTCCAGTAGTCTTGCCTGGAGAACCCCATGGAGAGAGGAACCTGGCAGGCTACAGTCCATGGGGTCGCAAAAAGTCAGAGACGACTGAAGCGACTCAGCGTACACCAGATTTGTGCATACTTTTCAGTGTGGTAACCCTGAGCTGCTGGCTTCCCTGATGGCTTAGCAGGTAAAGAATCTGCTGGAGATGCAGTCAGATGTGGGTTGGAGCCCTGGTTCGGGAAGATCCCCTAGAGGAGGAAGCAGCAACACACGCCAGTGTTCTTGCCTGAAGAATCCCATGGACAGAGAAGCCTGGTGGGTTACAGTCCATGCGGTCACAAGGGTCTGACATGAGAAGTTGCTCTTGTGTCACAGCAGCGACCCTGAGCTCCGCCCATGCCCTTTTCCGGACCGGCAGGTGGGGGTCCCGCGCGCCCCCACCAAGTTTTCCTTTGGTGGAAGAAATCACTGGAAAAGGGTGGAAAGCAGTTTGGCCACTAGGTGGGTAGTACTAGATGGTGAAGTCAAGAGACTAGGAGAATGGATGAACTGTAAACATTTTCATGAATGTGCGATTTTTACAGAAAGCAGTTGTAGTTTTGCCATCCTCCCCTAGAGAACAAAACAACTGAAAGGAAAGGATCAGGATTTCCTATAGCAAGCACCCCTGGGGCTTTGCTTTTGCACCCAGCGCTGAGCTGAGCCCTTGGAATGTGCAAATGGAGAGCACGACTAGCAACTGTCACACCGCAGCTCCTGTCCAATGGGGAAGAGAAGAGCCCTGCCAAAGAGAGCCATGGTGACTGCTGGGCTTACGGCTGGGTCTGGTGTGCCAGGGGCAGGTAACCTTCCAGCAAATCCGAGGCTGGACTCTGTCCAGCTCTGCAGTTCAAGGTGCCCCTAGTTGAACTCCAACGCTGTCCGCCCAGATGCAGCAGAGCCAGGAGCGTGCTTGGGGTGGGGCGGGGTGAGGGCTCCCCCTGTCAAGGCAGGGCCGTGGGTGCCATGCTGCTATGGCGCAGCTGCAAATGGGCCGTGTGCAGCTGTGCGGGGGGCGGGGAACGGTTATACGGGGGAGGTGGGAGGGTCTATCACTCTACAACCTCTTCACGCCACCAGCTCCCAGACCGTGTGCACTGCAGCAGCAGCAAGAGCAGCAGCAGCGACAGATGCATGGTGGTTGTGTTGCTCGGGCACTCTGACCTGGAGGCATCTCCAACAGGTACTGGTCGGGGCCTGGGACCCAGAGCACAACCCAAACTGCATGGAATTCCCCACAGTGACCCTTGCCATCTTTCTTGGCGTCCCAGGGGCTGGTGGCTACATGTTTCCCCTGGAAGTGGGATCCCACTATATCAGGACTGGAGTGCACCAAGACCATGCCATTTATTAGGCCTGGCATGCACCAGTACCATGCCATTTCCAGACATTGTGACCAGCCTTGCTTTCACACCTAACCCTGCTCACAGCCACTGTGGTCAGGACTGGTAGCTCTGGGCCTTACCCTGGAGGGAAAGTGGCTTCAGCCTTTCCTCTCCTGGCCTCTACCAACTTCCACTGACCAGACATATTCTCACTCTGGAATGAGGGTTGTTTGAGGTAGAGAGTGCATGAAGGGGTGGACGGATTTAGGAAGGTGGGCCTAGGTGAGGGTGGGGACCACAGGGCAATGAAGGTGGAGGCTTGGGGACAGTAGTTAGATTTGAGTGAGGTCAGGGCTTAGGACATGCATTGTGCTTGGGACGAGGTGGCACATGGCTTGAGTGGGGGCTGGGATCCGGGTAGGTAGAGGCAAGGCTTCCTTAGGGATGGGACTTGAGTGGAGGGTTGGGTCACTTGCAGGCAGATTAAGGTTTAAGGTTGGGATTCCTTGGTGGCTCAGATGGTAAAGTGTCTGTGCGCAATGCGGGAGACCCGGGTTTGATCCCTGGGTTGGGAAGATCCCCTGGAGAAGGAAATGGCAACCCACTCCAGTACTCTTGCCTAGAAATTTCCACGGGTGCAAGGCGCCTGGTGGGCTACAGTCCATGAGGTCGCAAAGAGTCAGACACAACTGAGCGACTTCACTTTCTTTCTTTCACTTTAAGCTTTAAGAGAGGGGGTAGAATTGAGGACAGAGTAGTAATAATTGAGGGCTTCCTCATGACTTAGCCAGTAAAGAATCTGCCAGAGATGCAGGCAGATGTGGGTTCAATCTCTGGGTCGAGAAGACCCCCTGAAAGAGGAAAGGGCAATCCACTCCAGTATCCTTGCCTGAAAAATCCCATAGGCAGAGGAGCCTGGTGGCTATGGTCCATAGGGTCGCAAGAGTCAGACAAGACTAAGCATGCACACTGCAGCAATAATCTTAACTTTACTAGCGCTGAATACCAGTTGAGCAGTTTCTCATACCCCTGTAGCAGAGTGCTTGTGAGCACTTCTGTAGAATCAGAATTGGCACAGCCTGAGCAGGGGCTTGTGAAGCAGAACCTCAGCCTTGCCTGGAACAGATCCAATGAAGCAGTGTCCACTACCCCAGCACCAGGGACTGCCTGTGCCCAGTGCTGGAGGGCAGGTCTTGTGCTGCCTTTGGGTGGAATTCTAGTATCTGCACTGCCAGCACATCCCTAACCAGCGTGGTGAACAGCTGTGAGGTGGGAGACACCCTGGCAAAAAGCAGGAGGGGCGGGGTTGCCTGCCAAGGTTTACAGGGTCTGCAGGGTAGGGTCACACCTAGGGTCAGAGTCATCTGTTCCTGCAGTGTGGCACTGGAGACCCTTTTTGGGTCTCTTTTCTGCCTCTGATTCTAGCTTCCAGACAGCTGGAAAAATAGGTTCATGTTTTCAGCTCTTGGTCCTTGCTGCCCAGCCCCCATCTTCCCTCCCCCCAACAAAAGATACTTCTTTGGTTAGAGGCCAGAGATATCACCTGTTGCTCCTTAACCTTACCTACCACATGACACCCCTCTGTGATGGGAACCCACAGTCCATGCTGTTCTCAGTACCCATGGCAACACCACAGCTTGTCACACATTCTCTGCACCCACCTTGTGCAGAGCTCCAGTCATCTTTCTCATCTGTCAGGCATTTTCTGAGGAAGAAGGGAACTGGACCTCTTCATCCTCTAACGTCTGCTCCAGAGAAGTGGGTACCAGGTGCCCTGGGACTGCATAGCCCTGAGCCATGGCATGGGCACATGCGTGTGCACATGCACACACACACACACACACACACAGACACACACCACCCCTCCTGCTTGGAGGACTTTGGCGGGCCCCGCCTCCTACCTCCGGCCTTTTCACCACAGGCACCTCCAGGACACACAGCAGAGTCCTGGGACTTTGAGGAGGAGCCCACAGCAAGCGGAGGTCAGCAGGGAGGGGATAAAGTGGGGGAAGCTGGGCCTAAAGAAACCCCTCCATCAAGTGACTAGGGAAGTCCTGGGAAGCAGGGGCTGAATCCGTGTGACCAGAAAGGGGAGGGGGATAGTTGGAGGGGTTTTGGTGGGGGTTGGGAGGGTGGGTATTAATGATGTTCTCATTCCATTTCCATTTATAGGCTGTGGAAAACGGAGATGATTCTGCCTTCGTACTTGACATTGACCCAAAACTCCTTGTGAGCTCACACTTTGTGAGCTGATTACTGCCCTTAGTATTAGACCAGTCCATAGAAAGTGGGAGCAATGGCTGTGACTCTGTTGGAGGATTGGTACAGAGGAATGGACCTGGACCCTAGGAAGGCCTTGCTAATCATGGGGGTCCCCGTGGAGTGTAGTGAGGCGGAAATTTAAGAGACCCTGGGGAGGGGCTTAGGGTCCCTCTGCACCTACAGGGTGCTGGGCACAATGTTCAGAAGGGAAGACCAGGCTAAGGCAGTTTTCCTTGAATTGACTAACACCATCAACTATGCTACCGTGTCCAGCCGGATCCTAGGAAAGGGAGGTACCTGGGAAGTGGTGGTGAAGCCCCGTAGCCCAGATGAGGAATTTATCAACAAACTGGAGGACTTCCTAAAAGATGAGGGCCGAAGAATGGTTGATGTGGCCAAAACCCTGGGGTACAGCACTCACTCTGAGGGTACAGAGCTGGAGGGTGTGGCTCAAGTCAGGCAACCAGTCTTGCAGCCTCTGAAAGAAAGCCTGTGGTACCGAAAACTCAAGACATTTTCAGGAAACACTCTCCCAGGCCCCAGGTGAAGAGAGCTTTGAAACCTGGCTAGAGTAGGTGACTGAGACGATGCAGCTATGGCAGGTGTCTGAGACTGAGAAGTGGTGGCGTTTGCTGGAGAGCTATGTGGCCCTGCCCACTCCATCATGCGGCTGCTGAGGGCCAGCAAAGACTCCATGACAGTGGAGGAGTGCCTGGATGCCCTGAAGCAGATCTTTGGGGATAAAAAGGACCATAGAACCTCACAGTTTAAGTTAGTCCAGACCTTCCAGAAGTCTGGAGAGACCACCTCTGGTTTTTTGGTATGATTAGAGCCCTGATTCAGAAAGCCATGCAGCACAGCCCCATGTTAGTGAGAAGTGCAGACACGATTCACCTGAAACACATTCTAGCTCGAGCCTCCATTGACCACTGCCCTCCGTGGCAAACTCGAGCTACTGGATCAGCGAGAGTGTGCGCCCACTTTCCTGCAGTTAATGAAGCTCATTCGAGATGAAGAGGAGTGTAAGGCCACCATGGCAGTGACCGAGGAGATCCAGAGTCGAGCAGAAAGGGTCTTCAGGGCATCAGAAGACAGTGTCCTGATCCCTCAGGTCATGGTGCAGGCAGGGTCATTTGCTGAGAGCAGCACTCAGACCATCCAGGAAGGAATCGTCCCATTTCTGAAGTGCCGGCAGCTATCCTCTAGCTGTGACACTGGGGAGGAAGGCCACAGCGAGGCACTATTTCCTAGGGCCGAGAATCAGCCTCCAGCAAAGCCCAGGCCTCAGCTGGCAGCAGAAGAGTCAGGGAACGAGAGAGGGGCCGGAGCCATTGAACCACCCCAAGGCCTAGGAAGCATAGGATCAACATATCCAGGCACACCCTCTGCTAGCAGGCAACAGAAAACATGCAACGCAGGGAAGAGGCAGTCCACACAAACAGCAGGGGCCTTGAGTGGGGCAGAGGGGCAGGGAAGCCAGGTCCAGCCCCCTCAGCCTCTACCAACTGGAAGGTGCTCCACCAACCAAGCCAAAATCAGTTCAGGGAGGTGCGGGAGGCCCAAGCAGAAGATCATCATGTGCAGCAAAAGGGGTGGCCATGCCTCAGACAGAGACCCCAACATAGCAGAGGCTGAAGAAGGTGTAGTCAAGGGCTCTGGCATTGGCCCTGGCTTCTGGCCACCTGCAAACGCCCTGTGGGCTCTGAGCTACCGATGCTGATGGGCCCCCAGGCCACTTGGGGCCTAGAGGAGCCTCTCTGGAGGCCACCTCTGCCACAAGGAGCCAGCTCTGACAAGGAAGAGCTGTGGGGCACACGGAAGATGCTCCGGCGGGGAGACCGCAGGATCCAGCCTGTCTTCAGGATCATCTACACTGCCCTAGGGAGTCCCCAGGAAGGCAGCACCCTGGAGCCTTTCTGCAATTGAAGGCAGAGGACCCAGAGGCCCATGGCACCCAGCACCAGCCTACAAACAATCTTCCCCCAACCCAGCTCCTGCAGCCTGGAAGGACTACAGGGACAAGGAAAGCAAAAACTGTGAAGAGATGATAGGGCCCTGGGTACCTGGTGGGCCAGCACCCCACAACTGGCTTTGCTGTGAGTGGGTGTGTGTGGCATAAACTTTTGTTCCAAAGGAGGAAAAGGAGAAGGAGGAGGAAGAGGAGGAGGGAGATGCAAGAAGAGGAGGGGCACAGAGGAGAGGGAGGAAGAGGAGGAGGAGAATTCATTGGCGGGACAGAGGGTTGTTTTGTTCTGCTTAGGTTTGAGCTTGGTCACTGGAGACCTGGGACTTGCCTGGAGAAGTAGCACTCACCAGCTGCCAATGCCAAGGTCATCCCCAATGCTTGCCAACTGGAAACAGCCCTGAGTGGCCAGCCCCAGCCTAGGTGAGGGATGCCTGCAAACAGCTGCTGCCCACACTGGCCTGAGAGATGTTAAGGGCCATGTCATGGTGCCTGGGCCTCCCCCACCCCTCCAGAGGGGACCCCTATTCAGCATCCCCTGGGGCAGACTGTTCCCTGTCCTGGGAAGTCCAGATGTGCCCCTGTAGGCCCCCTAGTGACCCAGGTCTCAAGGAAACCCTCCCTGTCCCAGCCCCTCTCTCCTCCCCGTCAACACACACCTCCAAGCCATCATCCATTTCCCCCACACCCCTCACAGAACCCTGAGGAGTCCATGAACCTGGGCCAGGTATCCCCACCTACCTGGTCAGCCAACGCTGGGCCCTGCCACGTGTCCTGAGCTTTAGCACCAGCCAAGGCTCTACCTGCTGTGGTCCCGGGTCCTCAGCTGTGTGTGCTTTCCTGGTGGAGATTCAGGCCGAGTTCTGCTTGCTCTCCTGGAGATGTGAGTGTGTTCTTCCCTGAGCAGTTCTACCAACCGTGGGGCAGAGACACCCCAGCCCACTTCCAGGAACCGGTGGGAAGAAGGGGACAGATGAGGACTTGACTGGCGCCCACCCAAGGAAGGAATATCTGCATTGGGGCTTCCCAGGAGGGCTTCGGGAGGCCCCCTGGGACCTGTGCTCTGCTGGGCCACCCCATGCTTCCTTGCGACTCTGTGTACTGTGCTTGGTACAGCATGCCCTGGTGTGTGACAGTCCTGTGCCCGCCATAAGGCACATGGGCCCGAGCGGGAGGGGCTGCCATGGGGAGATCGGGCATTGCCAGCACCCACCATCCTGGCAAGACACCACACATGAGGCCCTCGGGAAGGGAGAGTGTGGGGGGAGGGAGGGCACCTCGTTAGGGACCCCGGGAGGAGGGGGGCCAGGACCATGATCTCCAGTGGATGATAGAAGTTCTCTGTGTTGTCATTCCCTGTCTTCAATGGTTTCAGTCAGTGTTGGTGGGTGTGAAGTCACATAGAGTGGATGTGATGTCAGACATAGTGGCTGTGTTTTCATAAACACGGTGGATATGATGTCATAAACATAGTGGGTGTGATATCATATATAGAGCATATGATGTCATACATATAGTGGATGTGATGCCATGCATGCAGTGGGTGTGGTGACACAGATACAGTGGATGTGATGTCAGATATAGTGGTTGTGTTGTCATAAACACAGTGGGTGTGATGTTATACATAGTGGATATGATGTCATAAACATAGTGGGTGTGAATTCATAGAGATAGTGGCTATGATTCACATGTATAGTGGATGTGATGTCATATATAGTGGGTGTGATGTCATGACTACAGTGAGTGTGATGTCATAAATACAGTGGTGTAATGTCATAAAGAGTGGAGGTAATGTCACATATAGTGCATATGATGCCATACATATAGTGGGTGTGATGCCATACATACAATGGGAGTGATATCATCGATACGGTGGGTGTGATGACACAGATTCAGTGGATGTGATGTCAGATATAGTGGTTGTGTTGTCATTAACACAGTGGGTGTGATGTCATATATAGTGGATATAATTGCTTTTCAATAAAAGTTCCTGAAAGTTTGAGCTGAGTATCGTCTCTGCTCTGGACAGTGGAGGGGAGGGGTGATGGGGGTAGGGGGAGTGACAGTGGCCTTGTACCCTGAATTGGTGCTGCCGTGTGGTCCCAGCAGTGTCCAAGATGTATTGAGTGGCACCCTGGGCTGGATGGAGCTGGGAGACAGAGACTTGAGGGCAGGGACTGTGGCTGGTTTGGGTCACTAGGAACCTCAGGGAGCCCCCAGGAATAAGTGGATTGGATGTGTGGGGAGAGCAGGGTCAGCAGGTAGGACACCAAGCTATAGGATCCCTGGCTGCTCTGTGTGGGCTCCAGGCACCCAGATGGTTCAGAGATCATGTGTGCCATCCCAAGGACCAGCCAGCCACAGAAAGGTCCTGGTGTGAGGTCATGGCCACTGTCAGGATTGTGGTGCAGGATTTCAGGGCTGGTGTGTTTGCCCACCTTCCTGAGATCAGTCTACCCCTGCTGGCCAATGGTGGCCAGCCCGGGTCAGTGCACCCAGGGGTGGTGGGGGCGGTGGTGTGATGTCCGAGGAAAGGAGGGTGGCCAGCAAAAGTTCCACAGCCACCTTTCCCCAGAGGCCGGGAATGGCTGGCAGTCCTGTCCTCCACCTTGAGTCCAGGGCAGGGTGGCCTGCTGAGAGGAACAGGCACCCCTCTCCCCATCCCACTACCCCACACTAGTCCTGTGTTCTGGGAGCAGGCAGGAGGCAGGGTGCGGGGCTGTGAGTAGGAGGCTGCAGACAGGGGCCCGACGATGGCCCCTTCCTGTCCAGAGGCTGACTCTGGGTCCACGGGTCTCCCAGAGACTTTGGCGAGCAGTGCATTCCCCAGGGTGGAAGCCACTACTGATCCGGGGGACACATTCTGAAGCGTGAGGACGTCCTGCGTGCGCCTGCATGTGCATGCCCCATGAAGTTGCACGTTTATGTCTGGCGCCTGTGCGCCTGCCCTCGCCGCGATTTCCTGCAGCTGCGAGATTGCCATGGTGCTTATCGGGAAATGCGACCTTCCACGCTTCGAAATGGCTAACCTGGACACAAGAAGCTTCGGAGGCGGTTCCCGTGACGGCCGCCAGATGGCACGCGAGGATCACAGTTGGGCCTGGCCGCCCAACCTGGGCACCCTGGGCTCTCACTGCCCATCCCCCAATGGCCTGGAGGATCTGGGCAGTCCCACGAGCCTGGAGCTGACGCAGGTCTCCTGAACCCAAGTGCACCATCACCGCAGTGCAGACGGAGGCGGGAGAGAGGAAGGGAGCTGGGTGCCCACAAAGATCCCAAGGGACTGTTTGGTGAGCTGCCCTGGTGGTCTCTGGATGCTGGACGCTGGTCTTCAGAGCTGGCCGTGGCCAGCACCCATGGACACGAGGGGCAGGCGACTCGAACCTTCAATCCCAAGGGTCCCTGGGTGGACCTGCTTGCTCCTGGCACTGGGGCTCCATTGGGAGGGGGTGTCGTTATCAAGAGGTGGAGGAGGGAGATAGACTGGTTGGGTGGTTCAATCTGCAGAGCAGTGGAGCCTTTCCTTTTTCAGTGGTACAAAATGAGTGGAAGAGAACTGAGAGGATTGCCCTGGTCACCGAGTTGTAGAGCTAGGCTTTTAAGCCTGCGACCTGTGTGACTGTCATCACAATATATACTGCTTCCAGTTTGTGGGTAGTTAAACTTCTAAGGCCATGCTGAGCCTGGTGGACATGGCGCTCAGGCTGGTGGTTCAATCATGAGGGAGGGGTGCCTCTATTATGTCATAGATACAGTTGCTGTAATATCATATACACTGTAAGTGATGTCACATATAATGGGCATGTCATAAATATAGTGGAAGTGATGTCATGTATAGTGCATATGATGTCATACATACACTGAGGATGATGTCATACATAGAGTGGTTGTGATGTCATCAATACAGTGGGTGTGATCACACAGATATAGTGGCTCTCATGTCACATGTATAGTGGTTGTGATGTCATATACAATGGGTATGATGTCATATAGTGTGGGTGTGATGTCATAAACACAGTGGGTGTGATGCCATGAATACTGCGGTTTGACGTCATAAAGAGTGGAAGTGATGTCATGTCTAGTGCATATGATACATATGCCAAGTGTGATGCCATACATAGAGTGGGTGTGATGTCATCAATACAGTGTGTGTGAGATGACACAGATACAGTGACTGTGATGTCCCATGTATAGTGGATGTGATGTCAAATACAGTGGATGTGATGTCATGCATACTGGGTGTGATGTCATGAACGCAGCTTATGTGATGTCATACAGTGGTGTGCTGTAATAAAGAGTGGATATGATGTCATATGTAGTGCATATGATGTCATAGATATAGTTGGTATAATGCCATACATACAATGGGTGTGATATCATCGATAAAGTGGGTGTGATTACACAGATACTGTGGATGTGATGTCAGATATAGTATGTTTGATGTCAGATATAGTGGTTGTGTTGTCATAAACACAGTGTGTGTGATGTCATATATAGTAGATATGATGCCATAAACATAGTTGGTGTGATGTCATAGATACAGTGCCTGTGATGTCACATGCATAGTGGATGTGATGTCATATACACTGGATGTGATGTCTTATATAGTGGGTGTGATATCATGAATACAGTAGATGTGATACCATATCTCAGTTGTGTTATGTCATAAAGAGTCGATGTGATGTAATATATAGTGCATATGATGTCATACATATAGTGGGTGTGATGTCATACATACAATGGGTATGATATCATTG